TTCTTTTCACAGAGCTCCCAGACCTTAAGGATCATGGACTATAACCTGGAGAATTTATTTATCAAAAAAGCATCAAATAAAGGACTCTGCAGCCTGTTGGAAAGGACCATATCAGGATGAGAAGAAGACAGTATCTGTTGTAGACAGCTGTCCCAAGACTCTGGACCAGGCCTGTATTCCCAACCTTGTGTCTCTGCATTTAAACCATCCTGATGCTTAAACTGTATACCTATTTTATAATTGTTCCATTTAAGGTTTCAAAATACTATCATACTTAAACAAAGTGGCTGATTTGGAACAGACTGGTCTTGAAGGCCAGGCATTTATCGGGTGGCTCCTAATGGAACTCAATGGTTATGGGGAACAAATCTCTGGCCTTGGCTACTGCCTGGATGCTAAAACACTGCACCCTGAGCTTCCTTGGATGCAGGGAAGGATTCAGACTGAGCTAGCATCTGTTGCCAGTCTCCCTCTCTTTAATGCCAGGTGGGCTCATTCAGTGTTCCACTGGTATGACCACAGAGCAACTAGCTATAGTTGTTCCTTTGGGGCTAGAGGATGCCATATCACACACAGAAGTCCTTAACAGTAGTCAAACAGGAATAGCCTTATTAGATACTGAAATGTCTTTAACGAGAAAGGCTGTCCTTCAAAATAGAATGGGCTTAGATATTCTTACAGCCTCCCAAGGTGGTACATATAAGTTATTCAAAGTGAATGCTGTATTCTTATACCTGAGGACTTTTCCAATGTGTCATCTCTGCTAAAGCACACAAAGAAAACCAGGCGAATGCCTTAAGCAATCTTATACCTGGTCTTGATTTGTTTAGTTGGCTCCCTTCCAACATTGGCTTCCATTTGCAACCTGGATTGCAATTCCTATTTCTATTGCTCCTTGGAATTCTTGTATTGGTCATAATATTCAAACTAATTACTGTTTTCACAGTATTGTATGACTGGCATGCAAGCTAGAGTAATGATTACTCAGCAAGTTGAGATGGTTGATTGATCCTACAACCCTGAATGAATCCCCTTTTATTAAGGCTATGCCTAAGAATTCTTTTTAAGCTAATCCTTTCAAGTATTGGATTACCTGTTCTATGATTGATATGAACAATGTAACTATAAGAAGTCATGTAAAGGCACATATGCAATGTTTGTGTGATAATCCAAAAATAATTGACAAGTTACATAGCCTCTGAAACACTTCCTCTGTTAATATATACCTCTACGCTTGTCCACTATATCTGACTATTTCCCCCCAATGTGGATAACTGGGCAAATCAATGAAATAAAAGTCTAGCACTGAGGGATCTGATGGACCCAGGGCAGGCAGCAACCACCCTTGCACCCAGGGACAATATTTTGATCAGCAATGCTTTCTACTGAAAGATTATTGATCAAAAGAGGAAAATAAAAAGAGATTTTCACATATTGATGTATATGGGGTAACTATTCAAGTTCAAAACCGATTCAGCTTGAACTAGAAAGCCTGACTTACGGCCTATCAAACATACATTGTACATCTGCTTATCCATTAAAGTAAGCAATCTCTCTTGAGATAAAGAATGCATACTTCCCCTCCTAGGCCCTATTTGTAACAATGCCCTATTGATAACACGAGGATTAGTCCCTTTCCTGGCATCAGGGTCATGTTGACCCGCTGATTTGCAACTGAATACCTCTTTGAAAACGTATCCTGGGTGTGTTTACTGTATCCTCTTTGTTCTAAAAAGATATAAAACTGTACTGAAAGCCATGCTTCTCTGGAATGCCTTCTAAGGCCTTCCTGGGTTATAATCCTCACTCTGGCTCATAATAAACTCACCCCAATTTTGATTTATAGGTTGGTTATGGATTATTTGTGCTGACAAACTTCAATGTGTATACTTAGCATATGGATTCCCTATTCCCAAGAATGGAAGATATTTCCCCAGAATTACAAAGTATAATCATACACCTTCTCTCCTAATGATGTTATATTAACAAAACCATAAAATTACGTTTGTAAAACATGAAGATGTTTAAAACAGTATACTTATCTGTATGTTACGGAACCAGGTTCATTTTTGCCCGCCACCCACAAAGCCAAGCCCAGAGATGACGAAATTGCAGCAGAGGGAGAGTTTACTCACAAGGCACCATGCAAGGAAGCGAGAGCATGAGCCTCAAACTCACTTCCCCAAAAATAGGACTCAGGGATATTTATCAGATGGGGGCAAGGTGGTCTGACACGTGGAGAGAGGTGACTGGAGGTGAGGAGAGGTGACCTAATTGATGATTTGCACAAGTGTAATCAGACTTCATGGCTCCTCATAGGACCCATGTTCACAAAATGGCGGTGTTAGCATGATCTGAGGGTGGAGTTTTTAGCCTCTTGTAGACGAAAATAATCCATAACCAATCTATAAATGAAAATTTGGGTGAGTTTATTCTGAGCTTAAATTTTAGGATTATAACCTGGGAGACTCTTTCCACAAAGGAACAGAGCACTCCAAAGAAGTGGGGATACATAGGGTGGTCATATACCCTCAAAGAGGGTGTTTCACATATGATTGAAATGTCCCTCCCACAATAGTCACAAGATTGCCCTGTCTGCACAGCCCTTGATGGACACAGCAGGTAGCGGGTCTGCTATCTTCGTGGGGGTAGCAGGAGGCAAGTCTATTGTCTTGAGCTGCTCGGTCACAGGTGAGCGCAGCAATCATTTTCTAGCCTAAGGAAAGATGCTTAATCCTTAAGGAGACGCCAATTTTGGGAGGGGGAGGGAAGTTGCACCTTTATCTCAAGGGCCTTTTGCTCTTGCCATAGGGAATCTCTAAAGCAGATATACAATGCATGCTCAAAGGCCTCAGTCAGGCCCTTTTGGAAAGACAAGGTCAGGCCGAATTAGGTTTACACCAAAATGGCTTCCTCATATATTCCAATATATCCTATTACTTGCCATTTTTATTTGACACTCTTGATGTCTAAAGGTCGCCTATCCAACATCTACGCAGGCCCAGTTGATGGGTTGGTGGTCTCAACCCGCCTGAAGTGCACAAGGAGTTCTAATTCCTGAAAAACAGCTCACACACTCATTACCATGGTGACCCAGGCTCCGGGAGATGTTATCTATAGGAGCCTAGTGGGAGATGTTATCTATAGGAGCCTAGTGGGAGTCTGATACCGTATGGCCTAAGCAGCATGGTCAACAATGGGTGGGTTAAACAGCTAAAACTATAACCAGTAATTGCAAAAAGGAAAAAAGCTTTAGTTCCTAGCTACTTAATCATCAACGGCTAACTCTGTGCCGGTTTCATGTATTTATTACACTTTTTTCTTTCATTGAAATCATATTCATTTTGTTAGAATTTCTAGCCCAAACATTATATTCGAAGGTGAGAGCAAACAAACTGATATAAGTGAAGTTCTTGGCACTTTAATCTTAGTTTGACATTTAGATGAGTCACTCTCAAATAAATAGAATGTCATGGGATACCTGAATTTCTTTAATTCTGAGGAGCCAAGCGGACAAGTCCCATGTAACATGTATTCAAAACAAGACTTGTTTGGATGCTAACTAGAGTTACGTGGTAATCATTTTCAATATATTCAGATACCAAATCATTGTGCTGTACACCTCCTCCTGGTCAGAACAGGGGACCTGGTCCCCCTGGCTTCTGCTACCAAGACTCATTTGCACAGCACTTCACAGCCTCCCAAGCCTCTTGCTTCTTTGCTGCCCCTACAGACAAACACGTAGTCCATTTTTAACCTAAGGCCTTCACTAATTTCCTTATGGGAAACAAGGGAAGAATGAAAATGACTACTAAGCTTCTGGTCTACCTGGCTGATCTCTAGTTCCAGACTGTTCCACTGAGACTGTCAGGCAGAATTCTCTTTCCCCAGCCCCCTTTCCTCCTTAATTAGCAGGACTTAAGGTAAAGGCCTTCAACAATAGAAGTCCAATAGCCCCTCAGGGAAGTACTCCGTCAAAATTTGCATTTCTGAGAGGCTTCCAGGGGGACTGACTCAAATTCATCTTTCTCTTCTAGAGGCTGGCTGTAATTGTGGAACTGCAGGATAAAACGTTAAAATGCAGGCGAAAATTAGGAATAGCTTGCAAGATGTACAATTTTGGGCTAAGAAATCTAAAGACTGCCCTCCAAACTTTTCACCCTCTTAAACGCTACCGTGTACATTTATTTAAAGGCCCTCCAAAATGATAGTTTTGCTTAAGTTCCAGAAAGATCAGACAGTATTTTAACCAAGTAGAAAAAGGAAGAGGTATGACTCTACAGTTTGCAAGATAAAAGTTCAAGGATTAAATTCCCCACTTGCTTCAATAATTGGACCCATCGACACCTTAGGTAAGAAAAACACAGCAACTGGTGTATTACATTACTGAGTTAATGCGGGTACTGGATTCTGAGTTGAGGAACTACGAGGTGCAAACCTTTGCGGTATATATAGTATTTCCACGGTAGTTTTATGGACTCCGTAAGAAGCCCTTGCTTGGTCTTTAAAGCTGGGCGTTGGACGACAAAAGGAACGGAGCTGATTTAAATAGTTTATCAGTTCTGAAATCAGCTCTACCTTAGTCTACACAGCGGCGACCAGCTCAATTAGTCCACACCCTCCTCCAACCCGGCAGCCACGGCAAGAGCCCCTTTCACTTGGCGCGATTACAAGGAAAACCAAGAAATACTTTTAAAAAATATACATGCCAAAGAACTGGAGTTAAGCTCCTAGCGTGGGGCTGTGTAAAGCTGTGGCGAGTCACTGAAGGAAGTTGGGGACTGGGGGCCTGGCACTCGGGGAACAGAAGAAACAGGAAAGCTGGGGGCTGGCGGAGGGTCGCGAGCACACTTTTATCTCGGATTGGCTCAGACTTTCTTTATGGCGTCACCGGGTACCTGCCTGTAGCAAGGCCCCGTCCCCGTGACGTCACGCCTCGCTGGCCAATGGGAGGCCCGAGGCTGCGGGCCCTGAGGAGGGCTGCGGGCCCTTTTTGTGAATGAAGCTCCCCGGAACAGCCCTCCTGGGGGCCCCGGGAGCCGCGGCCCGCTGTACTCGGCCGCCTCGGCAGCAGCGTCCGCGGCCGTGGTGGGCGCGCGCCGTGTCCCAGGCAGCGCCGACCGCCCGCCGCAGCACCGTCACCCCTGGGGGCGGGCTGGGGGCGCCCGCGGCGGCAGGAGGCGCTGTAGCCAGGGCTGCGGCGCGGTCCCGCGGCGGCCGCAGGAGGGAGCGGGGCGGGCGCGGTGGGCCCGGCCCCTCCTCCGGCTCCGGCTCCTGCGCGCCCGCCTCCCGCCAGCTCGGCCAGCGCCCGCCGTCGCCGCAGCGCCGCTCCGCGCCCGCGGCCCCGAGCGCCCGCGCGCCGGGCTGGCGGGGGCCTGCGCGCGCGGGGCCATGGTCGTGGCCCCCTGACGGGCCGCGGCCACCTCCATGAAGCGGAAGAGCGAGCGGCGGCCGAGCTGGGCCGCCGCGCCCCCCTGCTCGCGGCGCTGCTCCGCGTCCTCGCCGGGGGTGAAGAAGAGCCGCAGCTCCACGTCGCAGGAGCTGCACCGCCTGGACCAGCGGGACGACCTGTACCTGGACATCACCGGTGAGCCGGCGGGCGAGCGCGCGGCACCCTGCGCCGGGTCCTAGCGCGCCCGCCGGGCCGACCGCCTCCACCCCACCTCCACAAAAGCCCCGCCGGCCACACCCCCTGGGGAGCCCGGCTCCCCGGGAGCGCCCCTCTGCCCCGAGTTCCGCGCTGTGTTTGTTGCGAGCTGTAACTTTATCCGGTTTGCACGCTCCTACCCCGGCAAGACGGGCCGAGGGTCACCTTTCGGAAGCGCGGGCGTCAGCTCGGCGCCTGGGCTTTCTCTAAGTTCGGGCTGATCCCGCCCCCGGCCTGCCTGCTCGGTGGGTCCTCGCGGGAGTCGGCCTCGGGAGCGCCCGGAGGGCTCGCCGCGCGCGCGCGCTGCCCGCGGAGCTGCCCGGCCGCTGGGCGCTTGCCAGACCTCCCCGCGCCCAGGCCGTGAGTCCCGCCGGCGCGCTCGCCCCCGTGCGCGCACGTGAGCGCCGGGGCCGCCCGCAGGGGTCGTTCCCGTCCGGGGCTGCCAGGAGTGTGGCACGCTGGTGGCTGCTGAACCGGTCAGCGTGCTGAATGCCCAGGCTGGTCGCCTTTGAGAAATCGCAGCTAGCCAGAGCAAGTAGAAAAGAAGCCCTTTGATAGCCGTTTTATTATTAGTGCTGATTCTACCATTCTTGAAGACTAGTAAATCCAATTTGGCAGCTGTTGGGTTTGCCAGGATCGACACTGAAGCGTGTGAACGCATTAAATGTGACGATGTATGTGGAAACGCTTTGTAAACAGCATAACTGTCCACACTTTTGGGGGGAATTTGCAGTCTGTTTTTGTGGCGCCGAACGTGTAAACCTCGGTGTGGGGTTTTTATAATCTCTTTCCCGCTCTGAGCCTTTGATAAACCGGATGAACTGGAGTGGTCAGAACGTTAATTTAGAAAGGGGTGAGACAAACAGAAATTTACTAGAAATTATTTTCTAGGTTGATGGATAGTTGGAAACTAAGGTCCATTTAAAACAAAGCGGAGAGTAGAGCGGAGGGTCTCTCAGCGTTCGGTGGATGGCCCTTGGGGAAGGAGGAGGGAGGAGGAAGGGGTTGCCTTAAGTACCTGTCCCAGGCTGCCACCTGCGCAGGTCAGCGGCACACGCGTGGCGCTGTAGGAGATGAAGCCAGCTTCCTGAGGCTGAGACGAGGTCCCATCGCTGCCCCCGGAGATGGCCCCGCTGATGAGGACCGGGGTGGAGGACACACATTCCTTAATGCCTTTTGTTACTTATAACTCTTCAAAGGAACTTTATTTAATAGCATTTAATTTTAGGGCAAGTAAGGCACTCATGGCACACAACTCTTAATTCTCGAGGTACGCAGGAGTATATAGTGAAAAGTTGGTCTCAGCCGCCGGGGGTCCTTCCCCAGAGGCAACTTATGTCCTGGTTTCTTGTGAATCCTTTCAGAAATAGAATCTGCGTGCATACACGTATATATACTATACCCAAGCGCCACACATACAAAATGTTTTGCACATTTTTTCTTCACAGTATTCTTAGCAGAACGATTGTTCTGTATTAGTATATACAAAACTGCCTCATTTGATTTTAATTACTACTGCTTAGGCCAAGGTAGATAAAGTTTTAAAGTATAAAACCAAAGAAAAGTGTATGTGGATTTAAATGTATGTATGTTTTATGACTTGTTTAGACAGCTCCCTATTGATGAATATTTAGGTTGTCTCCAATCAAAAAGGAGGTTTTTGGCAGCAAAGTCATTGGAGTAATTCTTCCGTCTCCTTTATGGATTAAAAAAATGCGATGTGGCTGGCTTTCAGTGAGGCAGTGAACAATGAGTTAATGTCAGAAAATATCACCAAGCAGAATATTGAGGAAAGAGTTAGTGCATTATATAAAATCAAAATGCTGTTATTTATAACCCCAGGTAATGGAGCGATCCAGCCTCAATATAAGATCACTCTGATGTGGGAGTAAGGGGGTCAGCTTTCCCTGGCATTTCTCCAGCCGTGTCGTGTCCCTGAGTGACAGACTTGGCTTCCTGGAAAAATGAGACTAAATCAGTCTGTTTCCACGTGATACACAAGACGAATTAAGTAACTTTGGATGCAGGGTGCGCATGGCGTTTTGTTGGCCTTGTAGGGAGGGCTGAGGCTTCATCCTCAGCAAATGGCAACCTGGTCCAATCCTTCCCACCTTGTCTTTCCCTCGGTCGTTATTTTCTTAACTTGAAAAGCAATGCGTGTACCTTTTTAAAGTCGAACTTTAACAAAGGAGATATATGGATATAGTCTCCCTCCCCGGTAATATTTTCTTTCCCTTCAGTTTTCTCTGCATGTTCAGGTTTCTACAGATTGTCCCCGTACCAGCAAGAGCAGTCCTCTTTTTAATGGCTGCATGGTATTGCATTGTGTGGCTGAATTGTGATTGATTTAATGGTAATAAATAAATGGTTATTTGGGTTTTCCTGTCCCTACTGCAAACGGCTGCAGTCTCGTCTGTGTATGTGTCTATCTGTATGTGTGACTGTATCTGTAAACTAGAAGTGAAGAGGCCAGGCCAGAGTATATATAGGTTTATCCATTCATCAGTGGACTTTTTTTGGTGATTATGAATAATGCTCTTATGACCATTCATGGACAAGTTTTTGTGTGGACATATGTTTTCAGTTCCTTTGTGTATATACCTAGGAGTGGAATCATGGGGCTGTATGGGAACTGCACGTCTGAACTTTTGAGGAACTGCCAGACTTTATTCCAAAGCAGATGCACCACCAGCACTCCCACCAGCATGTACCAATCATTCTGTATCCTCACCAACACTTAGGACTGTGACGATTATTTCCCAGGGGGTTGTTTTGTAAAATTAATGCACATTATCACTTCTGCCCACTGTACTCTTAAGTATGTTAAAAAATTTAGCCCCTTCACATTTTTATTGCAATCTATTTTATCTGTAAGTTGAATTCCCATAGATCCCAGGGTATTTCATGTGTGTGCATTTAATATAGGATGCTTAATGCCTGTCTTTGTTCCTGTAGCCCTTTGTTATGTGGTCGCTATTGTTTAGGGTCTGGCCAGCCAACTCCCTGCACTGGGCATTTACTCCTGCTAGGAGTGGACTGATGAGGGTTTTATTCCCACCGAAACCCATCAACCTCTCATTGACCATTCACTTAGTTCTTGCCATGTGCAATGTCATGGATTTTTGCCTGGGCTGTATTCCTGGTGCAGTTCCAGTGCACCTGTGAAAGAAAGGTCATAAATGCAGTGTAAACTGTGTGTGTTAATACTAAAGAGATACTGAGGAAAGATATGATCAGAATGAGTTGTTAGCAGTCCAGGAAGCTGGGGGAAGAAGAGGAGTGAGGAGGGTTTTTAGTTGGATGTGGAACTAGATAAATACCAAAGGAAAAATTGTTGGACATAGTCAGGTTTTTGATTTTCCTATGAACCTTTTTGCAACCAGAAGTCTGAATCTTTTTGATCTCTTTGTTCCTGTCCCTTAAATAGGGCCCTCCTTATGTGATAGTGCACATTATCCATTCTTCTTTCTTAATATAGGAAAAAAATTTTAAGGACTATAACACTACTACGTAATCTCTGTGCTTGATAATTTATAGGATTTAACAGTTGGTACAGAACTTTGTTTTACTTTTTAAATTTCTGACTAATCAAGAAAATTGGTAATAACTACTGACTAAAGAAGATTCTTGGTGGTTTGTCTAAATTAAAAAAAAATTTTTCAGTGTCTGCCATGATATTCTACTTTTCAAAGAGTGCTTTTATTATAACAGTAATTTTATTGGAGATTCTCTACTGGAGGTCAGGCTTGTCATTTAAAAGCAATGATTAATGATGTATTGGATACTCATCAAATAAAATTAAACAGGTACAGCGCTGCTCCCACTCACTTCCTTTTAGGATTTAAAAAATTCACAGTAGACATCATTAGACAGGGAAAATTTATTCATTAATTCAAGAAGTATTTATTGAATGCTTACTGTGTAAATTAGTCATGTATATTCATTGTTTGCAGTGATAGAAATATGTATTTTTTTTGATAGAAAAGGAATGCTGTTACGTGGGGCACTGATTCAAGGAGGAAATCATTTTTCAAGAGTTTCATGTAGTAGATTGAGATTCATCAAAGTATGTAGTGTTCCTTTTTTTTGTTGCTTATGACTTATTTCTGTACTTACTCTTGTGAATTTATTTTCCTGATTTATGTGCCTACTTAATTCTTCGACATCTTTTTTTTTTTTTAAATATCTTATTTTTTTCCTTTTTCTCCCCAAAGCCCCCTGGTACATAGTTGTATATTCTTCGTTGTGGGTTCTTCTAGTTGTGGCATGTGGGACGCTGCCTCAGTGTGGTTTGATGAGCAGTGTCATGTCCGCGCCCAGGATTTGAACCAACGAAACACTGGGCTGCCTGCAGCAGGGCACGCGACCTTAACCACTCGGCCACGGGGCCAGCCCCAATTCTTCGACATCTTTGCTTCTGATGGTGTCATGTTAGTTATCTGCTTTAAGTCGAATTCCTTAGACGTTCTGGCCCTACACACAGACAAAACCTTAACACAGTTTAAATGTTACTGGTTCAGTGGACATGAGTGGTTGGGCTAGATGAGGGGAAAGTGGAATAACTGGGTTAGTCCCAGTTATTAGTTATTAGTACTAGAAATGGTACTAATGGTACTGATGCCAGGAGTGCGGTCAGTGCAAACTGTAACTTCTCCGTGCCTTTTTTTTTTTTAAACATTGGCACCTGGGCTAACAACTGTTGCCAATCTTTTTCTTTTTTTTTTCTGCTTTATTTCCCAACCGCCCCCGTACATAGTTGTATATCTTAGTTGCAGGTCCAGGATCTGAACCCTGGGCTGCCGCAGCGGAGCGCACGAACTTAATCACTCGGCCACGGAGCTGGCCCCTCCGTGCCTTTGATGGGGAATGAATTTCCCCAATTCCTGTGGATGCGAGGAAGACCTGGGTGAAACCACATTGTGGATTTTTAGGATGGAAGG